GGGTACTGCAGATGGGGCATGGAATCCCCCAGAAGACAAAAATGTATCTAGGGCAGGGGCCCCAAACTCTTCAGTTCATCAACCTCTTCATGAAGTTTCAGATTGTTCATTGACCCCCAAACATTTATTATATGAAAATAATATAAATACTATGGCTGGTGTGAGTCTTCCGGGCTGTGTGGCCGTGTTCTTGAAGTTTTGTTTCCTAACGTTATATAAATACTACTTTATATAACGTTATATAAATACTACTTTAACGAATAACAGCAACAATAATGGATAGTCCCATCGCCCCATGGGGATTGATATTGCCCACTTTGGAGAACCCTGATCAAGGGCAAATACATGCAACCGAATATCCCAGTGGCATCCTGTGCTGGTGCCAGACATGGTGAAAGATGCCTGATTGCAACCTTTCCCTCACATAGGGCACTCAGTCCCTCTCTGGATCCCATACCTCACACCGCACCAAAGAACATGACTGGCTGTTGCACTCGCATTCCTGCAAGCATCACTGGACGTATGCAAGGCCAACACTGAACATCTGTCTTGTGAAACTTTTCTCCTTTTCCAGTTGGTCTATTGATCACACAAGCTTAGGTGGATCATGCCATCAACCCAGTGAATTTAACCCGCACAAACCCATCACTTGTAACAGTGGCTGCCAACTGCTGTCAGATATTACCTATTCATGCAGGTCTCCCTCTGCAGATTTCTGGCTGGTTTCCAGTGTTGTTTCCTGGATGGCATCGTAAGGTGCTCTTTGGACAGCACAACATTGCTGTTACCTCCCAAGATCTTTTCAGTGCTGGGATTTCATGACTTTCTATGCTGGAGCCAACTGGCAGTCTCACAAGGGGCAGTCTGCTTTGGTTCTTCCTTGAGCCGAGCTGCATAGTGGCCATGCTGGTCTTCCCTCATCCTCAGTCTATTGGCATAGTGCTCAAGGCCTGGGAGAGAGGGCTGTGACTGCACCGACCGTATGAAATTTAAGCAGGTCAAGCAACTCTGACAAGGTCCTTCATGAGCTTGATGGTGACCTCCACCATGAGGAAGATGTGGGTGCTGTGGATTGGCCATGCTGCAAGGACTACTAGGCCCCAGGTACTCACACCTGCACTCAACAGGAGCCCTGAAGGGGCCGAATTACCCCATGACATAATGCCCCCTTCTCCTGCATCTTGCACCTCTCTATGTCTTCACCTCTCTATGGTACAGGCAAATCCCATGCAAACTCCCCAGAAGGGGTTCTGTGTGAGGAGAATGGTGCTTGTGTAGCAGTGCACCACAGAGTTCTCCAGTGCCCTATGCCTGGGATATGACTTAGCTCATTGAATATTTTTCTGTATCGTCCACAGGGTCAAAATAGCAGAGAAGTGTGAAGGTGGGGGCTCCAAAGCATTTGATACTGGACAGGTCATGCATGCAGGTCTGTATGCATGCTCTTCACATTGTGGCAGGCTGAGCATTTTTCATGGGCCATGCCTTCAAGGGAATGCCTGTTCACCTTTGCCTTTCCCTGGGTAAGGCAAATGGTGAGGGCTGACCACTGTCTCTCCCACTGCAGGAGTGGGCAGGCAGCAGGTTTTCACAGGGAAACTCCTTCACCTCTCTAGTGCTCTGCTGCTGTGCCTAGCTTGGCATTGTGTGGATCACCTATGGCACTTCTTACCTGGATTCCCTCCTTTCATGCAGGTTCACCATGCCACCAGCATGGAGAGGTGCTACTACGCAGCCAAAAAAAAAAAGCCCAGCCGAACAATGGCTGAACACAGTCAGCTGAGACTCCATCCTTGCCCCCAGACCCAGGTTCTGAACTTGCTCATGCGCCTTAGTCAATGCCAGACAAGCTCCACATGGGCCAGAGCTGAGATACAGGCAGGCCCACCGAGTTCATATGAAACATCTTAGGTGCTTCATTGGCAGGGACTGTTTGCTGGCCTGGGACTGATAGCTTACGCCATCCTCTCATATGCCATAGGTAAAGTGCTTATTACAACTACGAGAATGCAAGCCATGAGTGGTCTGGTCATACCTAAGTAAGTAAATGAGTAACTAAGTAAGTGCCTACTACTTCACCCACCTTCCCATCCCTAATATGGGTAATTGCTGCTATGCATTGCCATGTCATTGAAACCTATTTCTTCATACCTCGTTCACTACAGGAGCAATTTGGGGCCCTGGACCTCCACATTGTTGGAAAAATATTGAGAGTAATTTCCAGTTTAGTATGCATCCAATCAATCCCTATATCCAAGCATAGATAGATAGATGGATGGATGGATGGATGGATGGATGGATGGATGGATGGATGGATGGATGGATG